AACCTGAAACCAAAAGGTAACACGAGTATCTAAGGGCTGCATCCTGCTTATTCTCCCTCCCCTACCATCCTTAGCTGCAAATTTAGTGTTGTCTCCTCAGCCATTTTGGTTGATACCAGTACATTAATGTGACTTCAGTGAAGAGTCACTCAGAACGACCCCTTACAGAAAAGGGCATAGTCTACCTTTACACGCAATTCATATCTAAAAAAAATCATTATTACTTCTACAACAATGCCTTTTCTGTGTTATCAAGATTTAAATTTAATATTAATCTGTTTCCAGACTTATTTCAGAATTTCAAATAAGTACACTCAAATTTCATATTCAAAACCCAATTTATGCCTTAACTGCATTGGAATTCAGTTTTATTCACATCCTATCATATATATTTTATATACAGAATTTAATTTTATTTGGCAGAAGCATTCTATTCAGTGTCTTTCAAAAGACAAAAATATTTAAGAAATTACTAAAAACATTTGAAAAAATAATTGTAAATAGAAGACCTGCCTACATTTAGGATAAAGTTCAAATTTATAACCCCCCTATGAAGATGCATTATATTAAGGCTACACACTCAGGAGTCGCCAGCAGATTTAGCATCATTTCTTTAATATTAATTTCTTTTATTTCACCATTGTGTATGGTACTGCCTTGGTACAGGGAGGAAAAGGTAAACTACAGCAAATTACGTACATAGGTTTTTCCTCTCTTACATCTCCCTATGGGGAATAAAATTTGGTTCAGTCTCCCTGCTAACTATCAGAAATTCTCACTTCATTGAGAAATTCTAAATCTACCAGATGGGCCACACTGGAGTAGACATTCTCCTTCTCCTCCAGCTCCCTAACTTTTGGCACACAGCATACAAAAGCCAGCTTGCCAAGTCGGCAGATGATTTTAAAAGATTAAACAAAAAATATTTGATCTAGATTTGCATTTCTTAATAATAAAAACACCTTTAAATAATTTTACAGGTAGATGTGGTTTCCCCCCTCCCCCAAGAAAATACCTTGCAATACCAACCGGCAAGGTGACATGCTTAAATCTGTTATAACATTACAGTGAAAAAGAACCACTTCATAATATCCAAGAGACTATTAAGGATACCTTAGTTTGCAAAACACCATGCACCTCTTGGCCCTACTTGTTATTCTCCAATCTTGCTGTTTTAGTCTTTCAAAAGCATTAATAATATGGAGTGTAAGAATCCAAATTTTTTTTTTTCCACTGCCTTTTAGTAAGCAGTAACAGACTCTCTCACTCTGTTTCCCTGCAAGGTAACTTCACTGGCACAGGGATTTCCAGCCTATTTCCCAGACTTCCAGGGAAGCCTAATTTCCCTGGCAGTCACCTCATCATATGCCTCAGCCTTTCATATCACTTGCTTCTAGTAACCTGTGAAGCTAACTCTTCAGTCCATGTAAACCATGTATACATGCCATCATACAGCGAACATGAACGCTTTCTCGTTGTTCAGGGGAGGGGTAACAACATTTCCACGACACCCCTCCACAATGTTCTAGGTGCTGACTAAACCTGGCATCCAGGAGCCAGAAGGAAATGGCTTTTCTGCTTTATAGAAGAACGTTGGCTCAAAAACCCAGAACAAGACAGAATTAGGGAAGAAGAGAGTTTGTTTTCGTTGCTGAGGTTCTTTTGTGCCAGTAGTGATAAATAGCATCTTAGCCATACAGGAATAACAGTTTGAAATTTTCTTTCAGTTTAATAAATAAAACACTGGTTTCTCTACTTAGGCCTTTAACTTTAGATTTGCAAGTTTGTTGCAATTTCTCTTCAGGATGCAACCCAATAGGACAGAGAAGGACATCTCTTATGCTTTACACAATGTAGAATGTGATTTCTGATATAAGCATATAGTTTATTTATTGTAGCATTTGTTCAAGTACCATTTCATCTTTGTGAACAGGATACTATCAAGCTTCCAGGGAAAAGCTCCAAAGCTTAGGTGTACTTGGACAGAAGTAACAGAATACCTTTGATATCAATGGCTCACAATAACATTGGAAATAGGTTGAAAAGCCATAAAGGACAACTGAAGTACTTGGTACTTCAAAAAGATACAGAATTTATTGGCTCTTGCCAAGACTAAAGACAGAGTTAAAGTTAACTCTGTTCCCTGCCTGCTGCACACATAGCAGCAAGTTGGTATTTTAGGCTACATCTTCATGTAGCCATGACCTCTTCAGCAGCCACAAGTAGTATATTCCAAACCAAATGTTTATACTGAAACTTGTGTGCTCCAGAACATGCAACTGTTAAAAACTTGCACTCTGCAATTCAGCACACAGCTCAAATATCCTACACGAAAACCCTGTCATATTTCATGGGCATTAGTATTTGAAAATTAAAGTCTACCTTTGTAACTACTTTTCTAAAACCACAACCTTTGTAACTAAACACATATTTGATCCAAAAGCATCTGGCACTCCACTCTTTAAATCCATCTATGGCAAAAGACAATACTTAACAGTGTATTAGTACGAGAAAAAAAAATATAGGACTATCACCTTCATAACTGCAGGAAAATGACGAACAAAGCCACAGAAAACTATTTTAAAGTTTGGCATCTCTCACCATCCTTCACTAAGACTGCTAGTTACTCCCCAGTCAATTTTTTGATAGATTAGAGAAAATAACTCTTGCGCTTCCCACAAAACCATTGCTTCCATACCATATTCTTTCAATATTGGGGGGGAAGAGGGGGATGGTGAGGGAAATGACTGATGCTTGATCAGTTTTACTGGTTCTTGGAAAACTGAAGAGATTTATATTTAGTCATGCTACAGAGAAAAAGCAGAAAAATCCTGGAGAGTGGGAAACTGAGATATAAGAACTTATCAAGCGAAAAGAGGACATAAGGAAAGGAAAGAAAACAGCATTTCAATTGTCAGAAAGAACAGAGAAAGTGGAATTTCAATGGTTGCAACAGTAATAGGTAAGAGAAAGAAAAAGGCACTTATCTTGGCAAACTGAAGTCTCAAACAGCATCAAGTTTATCAGAAAGTAGAAGAAAACCCACCATTCCTTCCCTCATCAAGCAGGGACAAACAAGGATCCCAACTTGTTTCTGGAGTTTACAAAGCTTTCAGGAGTGGCGGGCTTGGGGAGAGTAAGATGCCCAAAGAAAAGTAAAGGTGCAATCTCATGGCTATTTTTGATGTGCAACGCTAGGCAGAGAACATATTCAAATTGTGGTGAAATTAACAGGCACATAGCAATAGTTTAAATTAGTGTCCCATCAATTGTTTGTCCTGCAAGATATTAAAGGCAACTCCCAAAAACACTTCTCCATAGTTTACTGGAATAATAAGTGATTCAGCTATTGCCTTCTTAAATACTTTACACGCCTCAGAGTAACAAATGTTCTTTCAGCAGTTCTTTGAAGGCTTAGCTAAAGCTTACATTATTCTGGGTGGACAACTAACTCTAGTCAGTAACTGACAAGCTGCCTACTTGTATTTTGCCAAAACTAAAACTCAAAAACCCTTTTGCTGCTTTCAAATCTTATTCCTTGAAAACTTCTGTGTTGGAAACAGTTAATCCTTTTAATAGTTCATATTAGGTCCCCTCAACCCCCCCCCCCAAAAAAAAAAAGATTCTTTCTTAATTGTGAAAGTTTAAGGACAGTGTTCTTTAGAAAAGACTAAAGACTAATCCACTTGTACCAGGAACAGAGCAGTAACAATCAAGTCACTTTATCACACTGTAAATGCTATATTCATCACATAGAAAAAATAACATAACAGTTTAAGCATAGATTGGGCTACAACAGACACTGAAGGAGAATGACAATACTTCAGTGACTGCAATATTTTTATAAAAAAGTAGAACTTTTATTTTTATGGAGTCATAATTAGCTAGTTGTCTGAAAAAATAATGAATTTGATGGAAGATGATATTTTGCATAATCATTCAACTCTTATTTTCGAACATCAGTTTAAGCAGATACTTAGATCTCCAGGCAAAATTGAAATTTATTTGAAATGAAAAAGAAAAACAACACAACAGCAAACACTGGTGTGAAGACCTAAAAATTTTACATTAAGTTATGGAGAACTCTCATTCAACAATTTATACCTACGTGAATATCCTGAGCTCTGCTTGGTCTTTGGACATTTCATCAATGGGAAGTAAATATGACAGTTTAAATTAAGAAAACTTTTAGTCTTACTTTGCAACCGGTCCTCTAGCTTCACTTTGAAATCAGAAGTGCAAGACTATTACATTCTCATCAACTCAGCATATGATTTAACATGCTTTTCTTTTTTTCTTTTTAAATATGCCACAAAAACAAGTCTGATGACAACATTAGTTAAATTTCCTCATAGTTGCGCACAGCCGCCAACTTGACAAAACAGTACCATTAGAAAAACCCATATGCACAATACTTGGCTGACATCTTTTCATAATTTATCAAGCACTCTGACTTGCACCAAATGATAGATTTCTAAAGAGTCAGAGATGTGAACTAGTCACTGTCCAAAACTGCTTACTCTCCCCATGCAACAGAGGTTACCATCCTCACAGCACGGATAACAAAGCAGTCAAGTCCTACTACAGTTTTCACACTGTGTACTATAAACAAACAACTTTCATCGGAAACCAAGCAGAAGAGAATCCTAAAAACTCTACAAATGCTTTTGCACACGCAACTTTCCTACAGTATAGTGAAACCCTAGAAGGGCCACTAAGAGTAATAAATTTGTGCATATGCATATCTGAGAGAATATGAGAATCCTTCACCACATCAGTTTTTCAGTAATGAATCTCAAAGTACAAATCAGTTAACAAAAACAACGTATATTACAAACAGACTATAAAAGAACACCTTTTATGTGAAGCAATGATTTAGACTAACAATTTAAAATTTATTAGATTTAGAGTTTCTAAAAATAACATTTTCACTTGTACCTTTATACAGTCATGCTGATTTGCCTTTTAGCAACCCCAACAGAATAAGTGAAGTGACTTACCATTCTTGCTGACATCCAGTTCCCTGAGATTAATGAGATTTGCGATGGATGCTGGCAATGTGGTTAGATCATTGTCTGGCAAACTCAGCTTGTGCAGAGACTGACAGTTAAAAAGTTGCTATTGAAACAAAGGAAAAAGTGAATGCGACTTTCTCTTAGTTTCCTCTGTATACCTTTTGTTATTAATCCCCTTAACTTCTGACCTCACAGCTTGAAGACTAAACTGTTTGGAGTCTTTCACTACAGAAACTTCATTTGACAATTAGTATACTCAAAATGAATCAAGTTTATAATGCTTAGGAAGGCAAAAAACTGCAAGCGGCCACAGCAAACCAGTAGCTGTGTTTAACACTTCCTACAAAGCCCTTCCCGTATCGCAGAAACTGTGAAGTGCAGTTATACATAGTACAGAGTATTTCCCATAAGAACTGTTAGATGACACCCAGAAGTTATTACAAAAAAAGAAAAGGAAAAAAGTTTTATACACTTTAAAAAGTCAAATAGTTCTGGAACACAGCATTTCAGTAGGGGCTGATCTAAAAATAACTGCTTTTAGAAAACTCTACTTTATCTTCCAAAAAGTTTCTACTAATCTATCATACAGTTCCTAACTCAAGTACACTAAAATCTAAAAAAAGATGAAAACTAGTGCAAGTTTTATCTAAGGAGACAGAAAACTGTATATAAATTATTATAATAAATACGTGCAGCAGCTATTGTATAGAATATTAGCTTGGGGCAGATCTCTTTCTATATGCAAGGTTCCGTGAGATTCTTACCCAAAAACTTTTCAAATTCACAATGTAAGACCAATAATATTACAGAGAATCACAGAACAGTTGAGGTTGGAAGGGACCTCTGGAGATCATCTAGTCCAGCCCCCCTGCTCAAGCAGGGTCACCTAGAGCACATTACACTAGGTGCAATCTAGTCTGGATTCACGTCTGGATCCCGTCCAGACGGGTTTTGAATGTCTCCAGGGAAGGAGACTCCACTACCTCTCTGGGCAACCTGTTCCAGTGCTCTGTCACCCTCACAGTGAAGAAGTTTTTTCTCAGGTCCAGATGGAACTTCCTGTGTTCCAGTTCCTGCCCGTTGCCTCTTGTCCTGTTGCTGGGCACCACAGAGAAGAGGCTGGCCTCATCCTCTTGACACTCCCCCTTCAGATACTTGTATACGTTGATGGGATCCCCTCTCAGTCTTCTCTCCTCCAGGCTGAACAGGCCCAGCTCTTGCAGTCTTTCCTCATAGGAGAGATGCCCCAGTCCCCTCATCATCTTGGTAGCCCTCCGCTGGACTCTCTCCAGGAGTGCCACGTCTCTCT